AAAAGTTTATAAAAACCAGAATATTTCACCGGGAAAAGAGAAGAATGCACCACAGGCTGCCAAAGCTTGTTAGTTCGTGAGATCAGTGTTAGCAACTCTGCTTATGAGCCATGTAAGGTTTATTTTTACAGGCAGTAAAATCCCATGAGGGAGTGATGACTTCATATTGTCTCTGATTAATGGTTCGACATGAGGATGGGGGGAGGATGGAAAGCTCAGCCAGAATCCCTTCTCCTCTGTCCCTTCAAGGCATCTACAACCTACATTTATACAACAACAACGATGATCTGGTGGCAAACATAAATCTTATTTTCATATCTGACTGTTGAGTGAAAGGCTGCCCAGCTGTCACTTTCCACATGACATGGATTTTATTGTTGCTGATCTGATAATTATCCCCGTAAATAAGAAATCTGAGCGGCTCCAAGATCTTGTATAACACTTTTGGCATTTTTTAAGGCTGTGCCACTTAATATGGATTAATTCTGACATGACAACAATAGCTATTTTTAAAGACTAATCCTTAATCCACCATCAAATCCATCCTTCACTATTGATAAGTAAATAAAATGTTTGTGTTCACACTTTTATAGCTTCTGAACATATATATTAAAGATGTTTATTCGTTCCTGCTGCATTTATAATCACAAACAGAAGTGAGCACATGTGATGACACATCATATAGTCATATGCCATCGGATCTTCCACCTTTCTGTTCGAAGTGAGGTTAGGAAACTCTTTGTTTCAACTTATATGAGTCCAGCTTATTTAACTCCCAGACTAAATATAACGTCACTCGTCATAATCAGCTCGCATCTACGGGAGCTCAGAGGACCACAACCAATAAAGTTTGTAGCAGTTTGGCATTTTGTTTGCGTGTATGTGAGAGTTTGTGCTGCGTGTGTGTGCATATGACTCGCTCTGAGTCACCGCTGCCCCTCTGGGTGCACAGCCAGGGCAATGAACACGGGTTTATGTGCGAGTGTGGGTTAGTGAGAGTGAGGAGAGTGCACATGTTTGTATGCACATGTGTGGATAATAGCATCCATATATTGGTGTGTTTGTGTGTTTATTTGTCCTGTGGAGCTGCCCAGACCTGAGCACTCTCCTCGGATGAGTCAAGACTGAGTGCATCCAGTCCTGAATCTGTTCAAATCTATATTCTTTCAAGAGAGTTTTACTGCCTGGTTTAAGTTTCTCCCACACACAGTTCACATTAAAGTTCATCATTTTAAATTTTTTAGTTTTCTTCAAGTGATTTAATACATTATCTGTCATAATGTCACAGTGGTGTTCATATCAAACACGACCAAAGGTTCAGGAAATGAGATTATCAAACCAAGACGTATGAGACAAAAGCTGAAGCATGAGATTTTTTTCAGTTCTTGTCACTGCATGATCTCATAGGGAGCAGATATTCCTAATACGGTCATCTCAGGCACAAAGCCGGGGCTGTGAGCACAGAAACTCCACCCACTTGGCGTTAAAAGTTTCTGCTCGTGAGGGGCAGCGAATCAGGAGAAAGTGTTCTTAAAGTAAAGGGGAAAGTAGCTAAAACTGCCCCAACACTGAGTAGGATGATGAATCACAAATGATGTGAATAAAATAAGAATAGTGAGGTATAAATAGTAGTCTTACTTTAGCGGTAAGAAATCATATTAATAGTCCAAAATCACCAATGAACTCTCAGTCCATAAACAAGTCTAGTGTATTAGATTGACACTGGAAAAAAGCCCAATACCTCTATACAAACGTTATACAACAGCTGTCTAACATTTAAAGATTTATGTCTTATTGAAAGAATAAACTTGATGTGAATGCCATTTTTTCATTCCCTTTTGAATTCACAATGATAGCAAGTATGTGAGATAGTAAGTCATTATAGCAAGAACTGAAAATTTGGAGAACAGCATGGACACGATGATGACTTAACGACAGCAAGAAGCCCTCATCCAGCTGGTCTCAATCGTGTGATTGGTCATTAATCAGACCGCCTGTTAAGAGCGAACAGATTCGGCTGAGAGCTGCTCCACCTGAGCTTCAGCGTCTGAGTCAGTCCCACCAGCAGGAGAGCTGGTAGAGAACAGATACCATGGTCTCTTCCTTAGTGGAGTCAATTAAGCTGTCAGCATGTGTGTGTGATTGTATCGGGACCAGCAGTCTGTGACTCAGGATGATGCCTGTGAACCAAATGGAAAACCAGAATTATTTTGGGGTTTTGTCTGTTTTTTGGGGGGTGTCTCTGTCTGAACTGGGGGAATAGATGTAAAAGATGAAAAGAGAGAAAAGAGGAGGGTATATTCTCACGATTGTAGTATGACTTTACTGTAAAACTCTTTTTCCTGGCATCATCAAGGGTGGAAAAAGAAACAGTAGCCTCTTACAAACACTCAGCTGTGATTAAACGTGCGGTTTTCTTGCTGGGAGTTTACATCATGTGTGCTTATGTGTGTAATTTTGTGGTTGTATATGTGTGTTAGATGTTTAAGTCTTCTGAAAGATTAAAAACATATTAAACTGTGATGAATGTGTAGCTTTTTTAGAGTTAAATAGCTCTTCCCAGAATATGCGGTACCTTTATGACCCCCAGATGAACTGAGTAGATGAGATCAACGATAACTTTCAGCTGTAAGGAACCGCAGTCAGCAAATGAGTTGTTTCGGTTCAGACTGGACAAATGGCAGGAGGCGTGACGATGGAAGGAGCGACAAAATCAACAACATCCGTCTGAGACGACCCACGGAGGTTGAAAGCGCCTTGTGGAGATGTTCAAAGACAAAAAAAAAGGGCCAGTTTCTAACTGCTCCAGTGACTCACTGCTCCTTCTCCCGGCTTTACGGGAACGGGATGTGTTTTTAATTCTTCGCCTTTTTTTTTTTTCCTGCTGCATGCTCAGGTGGAGCAGAGGAGCGTCAGACTGTGGTTTAATGTTTGTCTGTCTGTGTGAATGCTGTGGTGTGTCTGCTTGTTCGTCTGTGTGTCTCAAGTCTATAGCTCAGGGCAGATAACCCAAATTGTTTCACAGGTGTCTAGAGAAAGTTGAAATGTTAAAAGTGCTTCTGTGGGAGAATAAGACCTGCTTTGGAATCAAGTAAATAACTGAAGTTAAAGCACAAATCATAAGTACATATAGCTATTCTGATCAGCTTAAATTAAAACCCAAACAAGAAACTAAACTAAAAATAAATCTAAAGAGTAGATTACTGAGTTTTAGTTTCTGTTAGTTGGGTTAAATGTTTTACATGGTAAACACGAGGGGGGTGTTATCAGGACTTGAAGGTAACATTGAGTCAACTTTCCTCTGAAATTGTTGTTTGTAATATAATCTATAACATCTAATCCCATATTAGTTCCCTTGAAAAATATTCCCAGCTAAAACTGAAAGTAACAAAAAAATAACAAATCAATACATTGTTAAACTGTCAAACTGAAACTGAAATGAAACTATAATAAAGGTTATGCTTCCAACAAAAATAACTTTTAAATGTCATACTGGGTACAGCTTAGCTTACCAATGAGAATATGGGGAAGGAACTAGCTTTCCTCTTTCCGTAGTAATTTTAATAGACTTGTCAACATCTGTAAGCTTCACCAATTACACGAACATCTTTTTAGTTTATTTTGTACAAATACTGAAATGTAAAACTGACGTGTTAGGTTACTCTCACTAGCTGTCATGTTTCTATTATGACGTTTAAAAGCCACTATGTGACCAGCTATTGGTTTCGTGGAGCCATAAGTGACATAATTTTAGACAATTATTATTATTTAGACGATTGCTAAGTTACTGGCCAAGGCCTGTTCAGGGACCACCGGTCGGTAGCAAAAAACACAAAATTCCCCACTGGTTGTAATTTCACAGTTGTAAGTACTTGCTGGTTGTTGCTAGGTGAACCTCATCACAAAGCGGTGCGTGGTGAAAACCTTTTTGTGATCGCTCTGGAAGCTAGCAAGTTGCATGGAAGATACTCAGTTGTCTGCAAACACTTGCCAGCTATATGCTAAGTGGTAGTAAAAGTTTAAAAAATGTGATGCAAACCAGAAGCAGAGAACATTTCACTTCAAGTAAATTCCCTTCAATTTCAATTTTATTTATAGTCACCGGAAGGTTCTTTTTATAGTAAAGACCCTACTATAATACAGAAAAAAAACAACAATCCAACAATAAACCCCTTTGAGCAAGCACTTGGCGATAGGAGCTTGCTCCTGCTGGAGGTTTCTTCCTGTTTAAAGGGAGTTCTTCCTTCCCACTGTCGCCGAGTGCTTGCTCATAGGGTATTGTCTATTTGTTGTGGTTTTTTCTGTATCATTGTAGTCTTTACCTTACAATATGTTGTTGGGATTCAGTGCTATATACATACAGCTAAAATGAATTGAATTGAACTGAAATGAAACCACTAGTGACCAAGGCAACCTCTAGCAAACAAAAAAATAACAAAGAGGTTTTCAGCTACACTAATTACACATTTTTCTCTAGAGACCAAGAGGTTGCCAGGGGTTGGGTAACAAGTCTCTAGACCTGTGTAATAGAGGCTTAACTAGAAATCTTGGTTTGCAAGGTGTATCCATAGACTGCATGGGTGCATTGCATAGACATAGATACCTGCTAATTACTACTAAGTGAGACATAAGAAATACTAGAATTTCTCTCACTGAAACTGGAACAGAAATGTATTGGATAAAGTGAGTTTAAATACCAACACACAGCAAACCAATTTTGACTAATTTTTGGAGGCATCAACATTGATTCAGTGACTTGAATTAGTTAAGGTAAAGCCTAGCGGACAGCTACCAACCTGTCATGCAAAATAGCCATAAGCATGTTTATTTCTAATGGAAAGTTGGGCATTGTAACTTGGAAGACAGACTCAAGCAGCGACTTCATTAACTGCAGTTTTTACCACGTCATGTTGACTTTATTTTACAGCAAGGAAGTTGCAGCTTGGTTTCTATTGATGCCATTATTTCTTGGCTGGATGCAGTGACTTCCTGAAGTTTTCGCTGGTTTCCTGCCTTATAACCTTATAATGACAGGAAGATAGGTTAAACAATTTCTTCAAGGCAGTACCGGGGGGTGAACACAGGTTTAAAACCACAGCACAAGTTAAAAACAGAAGTGAAAATCATGAGGTTTGTCTCCTTTTTTCCTGTTAACCTTTTCAGTCCCAGAACATTTTTTGTTATTTTGTTAATTTTCCTCTCAGCGGTTTAAAATAGCCTAAAATACACCAGTATTTTCCATTGCATTTTTCAGAGTAATCTGAACTTTCTAAACTGATGAATATGATGGAATATATTATAATTGTCTTACACTTGCCTCAAAATTATTACAAAAGGCTATTATTTTGGAACAATTTACTAACTGTTGCTACCTATGTCACTTTTCTAGAAAGTGAACTCTTTTTTTTTTTTGTCAATCTGGAAGTGAAACTCCACAGGTTAAGAAACACTCTCGCGAGTGTCTTTTACAACATGGTGGGATTAACCAGAGCTCTGGGAAAAAACCTACTCAAGCATGGGAAGAACATGCGGGGGCCTCACCTGGATTCAAACACAAGACAGTCTAAACATGCTGCTGTAAACAACTTCTTCAAAGGACTACAGATATATAGGGGAAGTTGTTCAGTTGTGCTAGGTCAGTGGTTCGCAGGCTTTTGTTTGCCTTACCCTACTTCAGACTGAAAAACTTCACACTCAGCACCCCACATTTTTTATCAGTCATAGAAAATGAAGGAAAAACCCTCCAAAGTCAGCAATGTAACATCAACAAAGTCTTGTACTTCCATTGTTCAGTTTAGTTACACTCAGAGTTTTTCCCCTGGTCCTCCACACCTCACCTGCAGTGGCCCCATGACCCACAGTTTAAGAACTTCTTGGTTATTAAGTACATTTGATGAAATTCATGAATAGACTCATTAGTGTTCATTAAATCAAAAATGCAGGTGAAAAAGGAGCAGCTGTTTCTCGGTAGGTACCTCCAATCCAATGCTTTAAGCTGCCGATATGAATACTACATAAATACAGATAAATCTATCATAGTTTGGATTGTTTAATGTTTAGCCTTTAGTACGTTGAATAACATTGCTTCTAAGGGACTCATAATAAAAGTTGCATGTAATAAAAGAATCATTCATATAATAATAATTCATATAAATGAGCTTAAATTGCTTTGTTTTTCCTCCCTTGAACTGCACTTTCGAGCTGTTGTGGTTCTAAGAAGTAGTTGTAATGATAGGAGCTTTTATTTATCTGCGTTTAAACACCACTTTAAGTGTTGGAAATGTAGAGTCTTGTTCTGTTGCCCCGTGGCTGCTGTCAGTCAAAAGCATCACCTCCAGTCCAGACCAGCTTCCTTGGAAACTCTTGGACTATTTCTGTTTGTCTAGGGTTTTTCCAGCCCGAGGTGGCTATTTTGGTCAGATAAATACACTGTTGTTTTGGGAGCAGGGGCTGAGGAGCATGGCACAGATGAGATCACCTCTCAAGACTCCTGAACAGCAAAACAACAGGCAGCAAGACAAGACAAGAACAGAAGTGGAAAATGAAGGCTTGGGAAATTATTGACATCCCCTCCTGGCTTCAGGTTTGCCTGAGGTGAGGAATCGGGAAAGAACCTGCCCCGCAGTCTCCTCATTGAAGAAGTATTTGCAATCACTGAACATATTGCTTTGTGAAACTAAAGAGAGGGAGATGTGTTTGATAGTCGACAATATTTTAAGGTCTTTACCACAAAGCTGATGACTATATTTTGTTATGTGAGTAGTTTGTGTGTGTGTGGCTTTGAGGGCCATGGGAAAATACTGCTCACTACTTTAGAGGAGTTTCTTTCCCCTTGAGAAGGTGGGAGTGTACTGAAGTCTGCTTCGTGTTTGCAGAAATGTTTCGTGCGGCCTCACTGTCTGTCTGTCTGTGAGCATGTCTGTGTTGTGACAATGGCAATGACTTGTGCCCCAGATATCATCTCATCATGGCTACAAATGAGAGTGTGGTGGTGTGTGGGTGTGTGTTGTTATGTACACTCATGTCTGCTTGTATGAAAGAGAGTTTATTGCCAAGTGGTTGTCTGCGGTTCTAGCCAGGTGTGGCAGTAGACGGACGGGTGTTTAGCTTTGCTGCCAGGTACTACACCTATGTGGACAAAAACAGCTGAACACAGTTTAGTGTGTGTGTGTGTGTGTTTTCATTACATTACATTACAAAAGATTCTAGAAAGCTGCCCACTTTCCCTAGTAAAAAGAAAGAAGACATTATTATGTCACAGACCAAGGAAAGTACCAAGTGATAGAGGAGTTCTCCATTTTCTTTCCTTTCTTAATCATGTAATTACTCTCAGATATTTTTTCTGTTGGCCTCTAAACAAAGGGTGTATTTTCTCCATGTTTGCTCAGTTAATTGGTGGCTCTAAATCATGGACTCCCTAAGTGTGGCTGTGCCCACAACGGTCCACTCCTGGGAAGATTATCGCATTTAATACGCCCACGAGCGCAGCAAAGAAAGAAAGTGCATGTCATACTATGAAAGCGCAGAATGAGACAAGGATTTCTTTATAAAATTGAATTGTACCAATGTGACCGTCTTAATCATTTTGAACTTTGACATATACGTCAAAGAATGTACCAGCCACTGCACTTATGGTTAAACCAGTTCAGAAGTTCATTTATCATCATGGACCACCAATTTATGAGCAGAAAAACCAAAGTACACTCCAAGATTCAGTTGCTGCACCTTCAGCAGCAATAGCTCAAAGTAACTGTTTTCTGTATGACTTTATCAGTCTCCCACATCATTGGGGAGTAATTTAGGCTCACTCTTCTTTATAATGTTGATTCACTTCATTGAGGTTTGCAGTCATTTGTTTATGCAAAAGTCATAATATCTCACCACACTACTTCTATTAAGCTGAGGTCTAAACTTTGCAACACCTTGTTTCTTTTCTTTTCCTGTCATTGTGTTGCAGATTTGCTGCCGCGCCCGGCTTCAGTCTTTCCAACTGTCATGAACTTTAAGATTTAACTTAGAGTCTGAGATGTAGCTCTTGAGGGGTTTTTTTTCACCCCAGTCCTGAGCCTGTGGCATTGTGTTAACACACACCTGAATCCTCTAGACCAGCAAACTGCTTTTATAGAGCTTTTCACACTTGTCAATGATCAGTTGATCAAATGGATTTGATTATCAGCACCTGGCTGCTACTTACTCTCTAATTTCCCACTGAAGAAATAAGAGAGTACTTAGTGCATGAAAACTTTCTTTTCACATGACTTTACTTATAAAGTATATGTGTATTTTTTCTGCACAGCTGTAAGTCATATGCTGCCTGGCATGCAGCGATAGAAAACATATATCCCAATGGAGGAAAACGCTCCAGCTGTGAACCTTAAATGAGTGTGGGTATACATTTGTCTGCCTAAATATTATGTTAAATATAATATAGCATAATAACTGAAATAAAAGGTACGCAACATGACCATGTGATATATAACTTAAAGCATCTGTGCTCCCTCTTGATATATGTCTTGTAGTTTCCTGCACAGGAGGTCAGATTAGGCAGAAAAGCGTGCTGGCTTTCATCCTGCAAAATGTGACCAGTTACTGTTATCATACCATAAGTATTGGGACATATTAACTGGCATACTAAATAAAAGAGTGCTATTTTATGTAGCTGTGGTGCTGCAAAGAGTAAGGGTTCGTCTTGCACCGCTGGCTGTGCCTATAAAAGTGTGTGTATCTATATGCAGGCGAGAGAAAGATAAAGATGCTTCAGAGTAATTACATTTTAAGAAAGTCTACAGAATGTCTACTCCCTGTTATCAACACAAGTTAATGTTATTATTTTAGACTTATTATAATTTAATGATTAATAAAAGAAAAGAAAAAAACAGCACACACGTGTTTTTAAGGTGTGTGCACCCTCGTGCATCTGGGGCTCCTTAAAGATTGTGTGGGCGGGCATAGTTATGCGCTAAAAATGAGGTCATCATTGCTGTTGATATATGTGACACACGCTATTACTTACACTCTTGTGATTTCACCAACGTCTCCTCTGACAGCATGAATAATGCATGTCCTCACCGAAAGATGACATCTCCCACTTTCCCCTCCCTCTCATGTGCTGTTTCATAAAGTTTACTTCATCATTACTGACCCATGTCAGCGGGAAATGTGGAGTGTTTGTGTGTAAGTTTGCCCCACTTTTATTTCGAGCTTCTGTGCCCATTATCTTGCCATCTTTTATCCAGTTCAACAAGTTTGCTGTCGGAGGTTTATGAAATTGCACAACAGGAAGTGAAGAAGAACGCGTGCATGTGTCTGACTGAGTGCGAGGGTTTTTTTTTTAAGGTTATGCCACACCCTAGTTTTAAGAAACAATTGACATATGGTGATCAGCTCACTTGTGACACGTTGAGTAACCGTTTCGTCTTAACACAGATGTCAAAATGACTCACCTCAAAAAATATTTCTGTGTTTCATTTGAGTTGAGACAAGTATTGATACCTGCTGTAAAACTACATGTTTGGTATTTCAGAGACATATGCAGTGATTTGCTTGCAGTCTTAGCAAATCTAACTGAACACCAGAGATTAATAGTCATGGATGGGCGGCACATCCTGCTCTCGATGTGCTTTTGACAGCCGAGCTCAGGCATTATTGTCCCTTGAGAAGCTCAAAGCCAAGCCACAGGATGACATCTTCAAAAAGCGAGGTCACCATGGTCAGACCAGAATGGGCAAGAGGAAAAAGGGAAGAGTGAAGGAGGGATGAGGAAAGGGGGTGGGAGAGATGGGAGCGGAAGGGTTGGGGTGATGGGTTAGGGAACGGAGGACAGCCGTTACTGTCAGCATCCATCAGGGAGCCAAGGGGTGACATGGGAGCAGGCAAAAGAGGAAGAATAAACGGAGGAGGAGGAGGAGGAGGGGGGTAGAGGTCGGGCAGGGAGTCGGCCTTCGACTAGTCATCCCTCAGCTCTTGGAGCAGCCTTGTTTGTTCTGCCCTTACCATCTGTTCACAGTGCAGATGTGCAGCCCTCCAGCTGCTGGATTTATCAAGATATTCTTCACAGGGCCATGATAGTTGCTTTGTTTCGCATCCAAATGTATTTAACTAGAAATAATTCAGACATGCTACTGATGTTAACTGGCAACATACCATTTATAGTTGGGAGAGTAGAAAATCAGAATAAATGAAAAATAAAGCAACCAATTCAGACGATTTTGTGGGAGACATGCAATAGCTGGGCTGATTGCTTAATGAGTATAAAAACCAGACTGATTTTTAACACTATCTGCGCCAAACATTCCAGCAATCATTGTTTTCAGATTGTTTTGATATCACGTGATCTTTTCCCCCTACAAGTTATATTTGCACCACCATCTTTGCTGCTGAAGATTTCTCCCTTATTTAAGGATTTTTTCAGTCTCCCATGGTATCAACTTTCTCATGCAAGTGTCAGTGAGATAAGCATATTTGTATTAACCGCTCATTAATATCTAGATTAAAGAAGACATTATCTGTTGGTCACTTTATGACTCAAATATTGTGACGGTAAATACTTAACGAGCCCACTAAACAAATCACATCAGTCTTACTAGTAATATTATCTAGAATCTAGATAATGCACTTACATGTAACACACAACAAATACAGTGGTGCACATTTTTAAAAAAAAACAACACAACTTAGGCTAATCAGTTCAGAAATTTAAACTAATTAATAGTAATAAAGCCTGATCTGAAGGTTATTTCAAACTCTCAGGGCTCACAGGGAGAAAGCCTGATTGGCTTTATGTGCCTGACAAACAGTTAAGGATAGATTTCATTTTCATTTTAAACAGAATAGAAGAAAGAACGACTAGATCCCTTCCATGATTTCTGCAATACTACCTCACAGAACCGCGATCAGCTTAAATGCTAGAAAACTGACAAAAAGTGAGAGCAAGTGGCCGGATTCAGCAAACATGAGTGTCATCAGAGACGTGTTGTGTGTTTTAAAAATAGACAGAAGAAGCAATGTGTATAGTGAAAACAGAGGACTCAGCATAACCCCTTCAGGTGCATAACGGCTCAGAGGGCTGATTTAGAAAGGTATTCACCAGTGACAACAAAAGATAAGCTATTTAAACCAGTCCTGATAAAGATATGCTGTCACTACATGATTAATAGACCATTGAATGGACACCAGTTTTTGGTTTTCACTTCTTTAAAAATAGAATAAACTCTTGTCTGTGATTTGGACAGCTGTACTTGATGATGGAGTGTTTAAGGAAAGTTTTTTGTCTTGTTTTTTACTGTTGACAGCAGTCAGCAGACTTTTAGGTGATTTTTTTAAGGTTTAAACTGCCAGTTCCTAAATCTAATCTCTGCGTCCAAAATCTTTAGGTTAAATTCTACCTCAAATTAAGCTCTGTTAGTTATTTTTGGGGAGTTAAAACCAGTACTGTCAGTTTTTTTGAGAAAAAAGCAAAGTACTTTTATAAAATGGAATATTTTTAAGAACTTCCACCAGTAGATTTTAAAGGGAAACCCCTGCATGACTGGTTATTTAATGTCAGGTGCAATATTAATCCATTGACTTTCTTAACTGCTTATCCAATTCAGGGTTGCAGGAGAACTGCAGCCTGTCCTAGCTGCCATAGAGCAAGGGGTGGCGTACACTCTGGACAGGTCAGTGTACAGCAGGGTTAATACAAAGAGACATGCTCGCATTCACACTTGTGATCAATTTAGGATCATCAGCTAGTCTAGCATGCATGTCTTTGGGCTGTGGGAGGAAGCAGGAGTTCCCGGAGAGAACCCATGCAGCCATCCAACTCTGGATTCAAAGCAGCAACTGTGTGCCTGTGAGGTGTCCGTGCTCTCCACTGCATCGCCATGCCACCCTGCAGTGTCGCAAGAAAATTATCCTTTCCATTCTACTTTGAATCCCTCCCCTTTCTAAAATCTACTCCACCTCACTCTCAATAATAACATGCTCAGGTTGACTTGGATAATAAGCTGCAGTCCGACTGTGGAGACATTGTCTACCCAATTTTCAGACCCTAAAGGGGAAAAAACATGTTTTGTTGCTTCTGGCCACTTCTGAAGAGCTGCAGCCCAGACATAAACATCGATGTGGCCGGGCAGAGGAAGCTCTGAGGCCGCCGCTGCTGCTGCGGATGAAGGTTGGCAGCCAGACGGAGACACTCAGGTGCAAACTCACCAAATTTAAAACACGCTCTGGAAACAGAGTCACTTTGTTGGGGAGCTGTCATTTGGCATGCCAACACTTGAAAAGTGAATCTGTAGCAAGCACACTGGGTGTAGGGATTTCAAACCTTTTCATATCAAAGTCTCTTCACCTCCACCCACAGCTCACCCTTTGCCAAAAGGAAAAAAAAACTGATTCGGATTATACCATGGACCCTGTTTAATTAGATTTTTTAAAAATGATCCTTTGGAAGTACATCTGAGAAGGTTGTTGTTGTTGTTAAATATAAATTGGCAGAGAATTATATAAGTGTCATCTGATGCCAGCAGACTGAAGAACAAGCACCATCAAGAGAATAGTCCACATGTTTATATATTTTGCTTAGGCATTAAGACATGCGTATACTGAATCTGGAATCCTGATATTCAACCCTGGGCCCCCTGGGGTCTCCTGCACCCTGCTGTGATGAAATATTTGTCAGCGTATGTGGGTGACCAGATAATCAGTGTATGTTTTCAAACAGGAGCTAAGCTGGTTTGCTTAGCTTTGCATAAATATTGGAAACGAGAAGCTTGATTGTGTCTGAAGGTAACAAGATCCACCCACGAGCGAGGCACTTTAATTAATACGTTGCATCAAATATTACCTTTGAAAGATAAGAAGACTGTTGACCAGCTGAAAAAAGCGCAATAAGGAAATAAGCTACATGCTGGGTTAAATACACACTTAAGATTCCTGTAGACACATTTAGCAAAGCTTTAAGTCTTTGTCTTAAATCAAGTCTTTGTTCTGCCATTCATCTTGATAACATCACACTGTCAAGCAGACCATTCAGAAACAGTAGGTTCATTCTGTTCTGACAGACGATACTGATAGAGTGGTTCTGTTTAAACAAAGTTGGTACAGAGCAAAAAGATACGAGAGAGACAACCAGTCTGTAACAGACAGGGCTGATAGACAGACACACACAGGGAGAACGAGACAGACGAGTCCTTAAGCACAGAAGCTACCGCTTCACGAGGCAGGGCGTGTAAGACAGGGAGTGCCCCGAAACACACACACACACACACGCACACCAGACAAAAACAAATGTGAAAGTACAGGGTAGAAACGGTACAACAAACACTGACTGCAGTCACATGTGTGTTTACGCAGTTGAAAGAGGACGTTAGACTTTGCTGAGGTAGTAAACGGAGTTTCTGCACAGTTCACTGGAAAATCAAATCAATAAAAATATTGTTGCTGCCATATTAACAACTTGTTTTTAATGTGTGCATGCATTCACGTGTCTGTGTGTGTGTGTTTTACTATCTATTATAATCATGAAGACACTGCAGCTCTAAGTTCTTTCAGTGGCAATAACGTGTATTTAATATTCTCTTTGTATTTAAACAGTTTTTTTATTAGTGTTGTCTTGTGTTGTTTTCATTTAACACAAAAGCGATTTCCTCCCCGAGATTTTGCCAAAATTACAGGAAAGTCTAACAGGACAGGAAACACAAGCAGTCCGGTGGACAGACAGGTTTCCCAAGTACTTGAAAACAAAACACAGACAATGAGTGTCTGTTGTAAGCTGCCACATTTCAAAACCCGTCTTCCTGATCCAGAGTTGCTCTACTGTACTTACAGTATATTTGCTCACACACACCGTTTTTCTGAGCAATGTAAACGTATTACTGACATTTTGGGCGTGCTCACTTTCAGTTTTAGTTTGAAATAAAGCGGTTTAGGAGCTCCGTCTTCTTGTGGTTGGCCTCACTGATCATCCACCCACTCATATTTAATACACCTGCTGGACTTGTGTGTTGTGTTCCCAGGACTAAAGTGTATCGGTGTATCATTCCCGATCGAGTTATAGTGAAAGCTATAAATATAGATGGAATAAATAAGAATTTCCTTTAACTTGAGTGTTTTTATATTTATAGGTTTTGGTATGGGTAAGCTGATGCGAGGAAACTGACTGTGATGAAGCAGAAATTGAAGTAAGTAGGAGGAAGCTTTCACAACTGATGTTCAAGCAATGCTAACTAACAGGAATCTGCAGCATTTCTTGTGTCTGTTGTGGTCTTGTGATCCACATCTGTCATAACAAAGTAAACATTCACAGGTTTCATATTCCAAGAAGCTTATCTTGTGAAAGTTTCCTTTCTTCCCACATTTTTTGTTTCTTTTGCTTTTTTCTGTTTCAGGAACACGCTTCTTTTTCCACAAAGTCCATAAACTGAAACTACACAGTGACAAACACATATAAACAGTGTGAGTACTGAAGTGTGCAAACACACACTACTATGTGGTAAATATAGGCTGATTGTTGGACGGCAGAGCAGCTCTGAGTCTTAGGCTTACTGAGATAGTTTCAGTAAGCCTGCTTGCTGACCTCAGTTCTCCTGGTTCCAGAGAAATGCACACTTCTTTGAAATCCTCCCCCACACTCATGTTTTCACACTTAATGACAGAAGCATCAACCACATTTCCCCTGAAGCCAGCACAAAGACTGGAATGGGTTGACCTTTGTAAAAACTGACTCTGGGAGACTGACAAAAGAGGGCTTCAGTACAAAAGTATAGCCACATGTGGCCGGACAGTTTCTGTGTTTCTTGATGTTCCCTGATATGCAGATACTGCTGGCCTTTGATGCTGGTCAAGTGATAATGAGGGGAATTACAGAATTTTTGGGTCACTGAAACTTCAGTTACACAGACAAACAAACATGTTTGTCTGTGTAACCGTAGTAAGTGCCAGCTCTTTGTAGAAACATCAGATTGTTGCGACATGATGCAGCTCATAAAAAGATTCAGTCTCAATCTCTAACATCACTTTATTAGCATTGTTTTCCAGGTCGTAACTTTTGTGCTGATAACACTTTATGACACGCAGCTTTATACCCTATTTATTTCCACGTGTGTCAAGCTTATTGTGTTGTGTCACTGAACTAATCCCCTCCCGAGGGACTGAGTGAATGTCCCCAGATCAGCAGGATGGGATCCTTGACTTTGGAGAGGAGGCAGAACACTTCGGAGCACCTCTCCATATTGTTCTGTACGTAAGGTCTTCTGCTCCAAAACAGCCGAGAGCGGCACTGAGCTGTGATGAGGGTAGGTCATGGGCCTTCTGCTGTGTCATTGGGTCAGTCATGCAGTTGTATTTTGGTTATGTTCTGCTCATATTTGTCTTTGATCCATCTGAAATAATGAGCAGCAATGCAGAGGCAAGTCTGCACAAAGGCATCTATCTCATAGGTGAGCTCGTATCTGCTTGTTTCTCTAAATTGATTTTAAGCGTCACAGATTTATTAAACAAGGCCCAGACAGGAAGAAGAGGGGAAATGGATCCTGGCAGCCTGGCAAAGCATTACGAGTACTGCAGTACTGTTCAGAAAGCATACATAAAAGTTAAGAAGAATGGCTTTGAGGATAACACTAACTTAAAAACAAGTCCACAAGTGATTGCATGGATTAAACAATATCACTGTTTGTTTCTTGTTTTTGTTATTTACCCATCTCCTTTGCTTCTAAGAAGATCAGACTGAGCCAGCATCAATACGAATCTAAAAATATGAGCGACCAAACAACTCCCACTTCCCACTTTACTGAGGTGACCTTTTGCACTCCTCTTTTCCACCCATAATAAGTCTTTCACTGCCTATAAATCAACCAAGCCACCTAAAATGATTGCTCCTTAGTCTTGTTTTGGCTCTGGGCAACCCATGCACCCAAATCAGTTCCATGTTATTAGATGTTAAAAATGTAGTTTATTAATCCAAAGAGCCGATATAGCTCTGAGGCAACTGTTAGACATGATCGAAATGGTGATTCGTGACGGGAGAAACTGTAGTTAACATCCCTTAGTTTGAAATGTGAAAAATATTGTATCCTCTTGTAGGAGCAAAGCCTGTGTGAGGCTTGCTTAAGTACTTTGACTTTTCTTTTAACTGACTTCTGTGCCTGTGCTGTTTTTTGTTTGCTGCTATCGCCCCCTGCTGGTCACTGTTGGTACAGAATGTACATTTGGCACTTGCAGATAACAGTGTTGTAGCTATATTATAACTATACATGTGTTTTTAGATACTCATTCATTGGTCTGTTGAAACAGTGTATCAAATGTATAATTTTTTGTTGAATTATTGTGTTAATTAATTTAAGCCAATATTATTATTATGAATATATTATAATAAGTAGTAGAAAATGAAAACAATAAGTCATAAATGTGTATGTATTTACTTTTTTAAATAATCAAGATGAATTAGATGAACATAGAAAACTGTGTCACGCATGCATTTTGCTTTCTTTTCAGAATAAACTTTGGTTAAAGTTAAAAGTTTTAAGTTTTACAACTCTAAAATAAAATCTGCTATCTCTCATCGACTATCAAGATGCAGCATGCAGATTACTCTGAGCTCTTCCCTTTTAAAAATGATAGAAATAACAATAATCTTCCACCTGCTTCCGGTTACAGTAATTCAAAATGATCAAACTTAAATAGATTTTTTCTATCTTAGACAAACATGGATTTCCAAAGGTCATCGTATTCCTTTAAACATATCAAAACATAGTGTTATTCATATTTCCTATCCCTCTCTTCCTTTTGATTTTTGAAACTAATTACAGATCATTGTTGAAAGCCAAACTTCAGAAGTTGCATGACAAAATCAGAGTGCTTTATGTACTAAACTAATTTCCAAAAACTGTGGCCGCGAAGGTGCTACTAACTAGTAAGACTGAAAGTCCCACTTCAGTGACTAACTTCACTTCTGAAAGCATGCACTGCATCAAGCCTTATATTTTCAAACCATCGCAAGTTCATGTGAACCTACCAACTGTCCACCTAAGACCCTGTGAGCTCTGACCCCATGCTCACACTGCGAAAACGCTGAGGTTCACTGAAGGACGGCACAGTGAGGAAGGACATTTTGTTTCCTCCCAAGGGAGGTTTGGGGGTGGACACAGCTTTGTTGTGACTGATAGCTGGCTGAGAGCTGCAGAGCTCCAGACTAGAGTGGGCAGCTGGGTGAAAGAGGAGAGCAGAGGGGTGACTCGAGGTGATGGGAATGGAGGAGTATGGTCGAGAAGACTTCTCTCTGGAGGACTTAGGTGGGGGAGGAAGCAGAGACACTGGAGCTCTGGTTGTCTCTCCGCTCTCTCCTTTCCCTTCTTCTTCCCCAATCTGGTGCTCTTCGTTGCACTTACTCTCCACTCTACTCAACTCTTTCCTCTCCTTGATGGCAGGTTGCTCTCCTGGCCTGTCCTGCTCAGACCCAAACTGAATCTCCAGCAAAGGCGTTCTGGCACTCTTCTCATCCCTAAAACTGCACACAGTGCTCTGTGTCTCCTGCCCGAGCCCTGATGGCAGAGACCCCGCTTTACCTATTTTACAGCTGTCCTCGTCTTCATCATCGCTGTTGTACTGGTCAATGCCGGGGGAGTGGCGCAGTCTCTGGAGCTGTGCTGAGGTGCGTCGAAGGGCCCCTCCCATTAGGCCAGTCGGTGATGGGGCTGAGTTGAGAAGGCGGTTGAAGAGAGCCATGTTAGGATGGCGAGTTCCTGACTCTTCCAAGTTCTCAGCAATATCTTCCAGAGGCTGGAAGTGCATCTCCTCTTTAGGAATCCTGTCAAGCGATACAGCAATTTATGTTCCATGTTCAGAGTTGTGTTTTGCGTTTTCAGCCTTCCTCTGGGGAACAGGTTTTACCATTTCTCAGCCCTAACTACGTCAAAGTACTTGATTTAATTTAGGTGCATTACTTTCATTTTCACAACTGAAATTTTCCCACCATGAGGGGGGAATCCAGTTGAAGGTGTCAAAGTCACAAAGGAAGTACACGTACAATGAGAAGGTAATGTAAAACTTACGCCATGTCAAAAGTGGACCCCTGGAACGAGGGCTTACGCAGGACGAAGAGAGTGGCTGCGGTGTAGGGTGGACGGGGATTGGAGTCATTCCAGTAACGGTCTCTCTCCATCATCGGCAAATCTCCATACATCTCATCCACAGCCATCATGGAAACCTACAGAATGAAATGCAAAGAGATGCACACATAATAAGTATCCACAATAAGAAAAAAAGTCCAATTAAAATCAAGCAAGCACAACAGAAACAAATTTTACCTGATGGTCGCTCTCTGCAAACATTTAAAACAGATTACAATAACTGCCACAGTGTCATTATAGTAGGCCAGAGATATGGAGGAGAAATTTAAAAAACAAAACAATGAAGAAGCTGCATTTGATAATGAGGCCACAAAGTTCCTCCCTGAGAAGTTGATTGCTACAAGATCAGAAAAAGAGCATTAAGAAACCTGGAAGTTTCTGTCTATCAGCCAGTTGGTCTCAAAGTCGTCATCATCTTCTCCAAAAGGGTTGATCAGCTGCTCAGCAACCTTCAGAACAAAACATAAAATATGGAAAAAAAAAAAACACAATAACTCTCCATGTGTTAGTTTTTTGTTTTTGTTTTTAGAATCAAACAGGGAATAAATGTGCTGTAAGCCTAAATCTGACCTTGAGCCAGCCTGCATAAAAGAAGAACTGCAGTAGAGTGAAGATGGGCACATAGAGGTCAAGGTCATGACCTGGATAACCTTGACTGGGGTCCAGGAACTGGCGACCAATTAGACACACCAGGAAAAAACTGTACACGGCCAAAGTCACCACCTGAGGGACAGATGGATTTAAGTGGTTTTATGGTTTACTCTGCAGCTTTTCTTTAACCTCTTTTTTATCATTACAATACTAAAATGATCAAAAAGAAGCACTAAAATACACTTATTTTATTTTACATTTACAACAGATTTAAGTGTTTATTAAAGACAGTTTACATGAACATCAACAAATGCAATCTGACTAATCAAAAATTTATTTAATAGCTGCATACAAATACACTGAGCCATATTCCTATACTTATAAACACTAACAAAGTAAAGAAGTCTTTTTGGTTACTTATTTTTGATTGTTGCATTTTTGATCCTATATATCACAAAGCTCTAGAATGCAGCTGTAGTTATAGATTTGTTTTATTAGTTAAAATTATTACTTTTTATAAAAATCACTGTAAAAGCTAAGTACGTCCTTACTGTTTCCATTGGAAATAAGAGGATAAGTAGCAGCTAGGTGTTGCTAATCAAATGCACTTAATGAAAAGGTGGTCAACAAGTGTGACCACCTCTGTACAAGCAGAGGTTTTAGCAGTTTGCCAGTCTGAAGCATTCAGGTAAGTGTTAACACAATGCTGCAATCATTCCAGGAGTGGACATCCCAGCAAATTCATCCCATGGTTAGAGTGTGTTGCGCTCAGACAAATTGCAAGAATTAGACTCTGAACAACATCTCAGACTCTACAGACCTCAGTTAGCGCTCAGTGTTCAAGTTCATGGTAGTACAATTAGAAAAAGACTGAACAAGTATGGTTTGTTTGGAAGCTTCCCCTTGAGAAAGCCTCTCCTCTCTAACAAACATGGCAACATGACTTAAGTTACACCTGAAAGAAACCATAAGACTCCCAGAACAATGTCCGGTGGACATTACACACAGTACCACATTTAATGAAAACCAAGCACAGCATATTAGCATAAGCGCCTCATGTCAGATGTGAAGCACATTGGTGTTTTGGGCTTATTTTCCAGCCACAGGACGTGGGCACCTTCTAATCATTGAGTTGACCATAAACTCCCCTGTGCACCAAATGTTATAGAGTCAAATGTGAAGTCATCTATCTAAAACAACTGAAGCAATGAACATTGAAAGACTGATAAAGTCATACAGAAAATAATTACTTTGAGTTACTGCTGCTAAAAGGTCGATCTACAAGCTACTAAATCACAGGATGTACTTAGTTTTTCACGAGACTGCATAGAGTGCTGTGAAAACTTTTTATTTCAAATGAATGTACATGACTTGTCACTAGGGACTAATTTATTATTTATATTTGAACAATTACAATTTGAGAGATGCAGTCTTTCACCTGTAAGTTTTTGTCACTTCAGCTGGAAGCAATCGCAGTCATTTCTTTGACATCAGTGAATAAAATTGAAACAGATAATATATAAAAGCCTAATGTAAAAAAAATGTTTGTGTGAAAGAAAATCATAGTTTAATTAAAGATGTGTGTAAGTGTTAATAGCAGTGCGATAATAGTCAGCACTTACCTGAGTGTAGACCAGAGGAACACTGATCATGTCATAATGAAACAGCATGCTACACTTCCCTCTGAATGCATTCAGTTCCTGTTCACACACAAATAAAGAAACTAGCTGTCTGTGTGAATGCATATCTAAACCTGCATATCCACCAAAACACAACTTTAATTCTGCTATACCTCCAGCAGTAATTTGAGAGTGTGATTGTCTTTGATTCTGCCCTCGCAGCGAGCCATAGCAGCCAAGTTGGTGAACCAAACACAGGGAATCCAGTACTTGTTATATGGAGAGTGGAGACCCTCAAACTTCTTTCGCTCATCTCTTGTCATGAATCCTGCATGGACCAAAACCGGACTTGTTTATTATGTTCAGTTCAGTTATTCAGTTATTCAGTTTAAATAACAGCAAGAAACTGGGATGAGGATTCATAGACAATAGTCACAAAGAACTGTGTCAGAAAACAAACATAGTCTTCTGATGCTGTTCAAATCTCTGAGAATTGTTTGTGACTCTGTGAAATAACTTCACATTGCAAATCAAAGCAGGAGAGTCATTTGTGTGTGACTGGGCTAAAACACTTTGGGTCACTTCTTGACTACAGCCTGGGAAACATCTGATCACTGATACTCATCATCAGCATCAGCGAGTGAATGGCTATTTTACATTAACAGCTAAGAATAGACCCACACCACTCCCATCACCATCTTCCCTCCTTCACCATCCTTCTTACCAGCCTCTACCACGTGGTCCATGGTGGGGAAACGTTTGAAGACAGCAGTGCTGACAGAGCGGAGGATGAGCAGGGCTGACAGACTGGCGTAGCGCATCATGGTGCGCCTCAGCAGACGGCCTCGCTCGTCGCTCCCCTGGAGGCCGCCTGACAGGACGCACATGAGTCTGTCAGGGAGTGGGATGCTGGTGTACTGGTTCCACCACCTGTTCACCACCAGGGTCACATAGAAACCTGCAAACAGCAGTGGACAGATGATTACTACTGAAGATCTAAGTAACAAACTGGAACTTTTAAAAAACATGAGATCATATGCTATCTTGTGAGGTCCATAAAGGGGCCTAAAGGATGTCAAGTGGTTTGAGTTTACTGTTACAGTGCTGTGAAAAAGTATTTGCCCCCTTCCTGAGTGGCTAATCCAAACCTATCCAGCCCTATGTGAAAAAGTAACCCAACTCATGTTAAATCATGAATTAACTGCGATTAACCACGTTTTTAAAACTTTCACTTTCACTACCCACACCCAGGTCTGATTACCACTAGACCTGCTAAATCAAGAAATCACATAATATAATCTACCCGACAAAGTGAAATAGGATAAAAGATCTTAACAGAAACACATCAGGTCGTGGTCTAAAAATCTAAAGCTGAGAAACAAAGTCATTGATGTCTATTAATCTGAAAAGGATTACACAGGTTTTGGGACTCCAGTGAACCAGAGTGAGAGTCATTATCCACAAATGGAGAACATTTGGAACAGTGGTGAACCTTCCCAGGAGTGGCCATCCTACCAAAACTATTCCTAAAGTGCACTGACAGCTCAACCAGGATCACCAAAGAGCTCAAAATGACATGTAAAGAACAACAACTTAAATAAAAAGAAAAGAAAAAACAACATCTCACAAGGGGTCAAAGGCCAGGGTGAAGAGGTGGGTTTTCAGAAGTGTTTTAAAAACGGGCAGAGAAGAGGCCTGTCTAATCTCTAAAGGCAGATTGTTCCACAGTTTTAGAGCTGCTACGGCAAAAGTACGATCTCCTCTAAGCTTATGCATATAATGCTGTAGCAACTCAGAGAGATAAGATGGGGCTAGGCCATGGAGGCTTTAAATGCAAATAAAATCATTTTAAAATTAATCCTAAAAGAAATGGGCAGCCAGTGAATTAAAATAAAAGACTGGCAAATAAATGGCCTCAATGGAAGAGTTTCAAAGAGAAATTCTCTGCTGACCAAAAACAACACAAAGGCTTTTTTCACATTTGCCAAAAAAGAAAAAAAAAAACAGGACTTTTAGAAAATATTCTGTGGACTGATGAGACAAAAGTTGAACTTTTTGGAAGGTTTAATGATGTAAAACTAACACAGCACTTATTAACAGTCAAATATGGTAGTCATAGTTGCCATTACTTGCGGTACCACGAATTCTGATATCTACTAGAAAATCCTGAAGGAGAATGCTCAGCCATCAGTTCATGTCCTGAAGATCAAACACACTCAGATTATGCACCAGGACAATGATCGGAAACACAGCAGCAATTCCATCTACTCAGGATATCTTTGTCTAATGATAAAATTTGTTTGATGATCTGACAAATATCCAAAACACTAAAAATTACATACTTTTTCACAGCATTGAACATAATGTCTTGTTAAGCCCGATGGATCCCAATAGAGAACCAGTAACCTTGACTAATGACTCACAGGATGCATAAGAATAATTAGGTGATTTACATCCACAAAGTAAAACCAACGAAACATGCAAACAGTGCAAGGACAGATGAACTTCAACAAAAGCTGAGTCTGTAAACTGAAAATCCCTCATGTAGTAAATGCACTAAAGGGGTTTTAAGACCCACAGAAAGATCTGCTATTATCACTGTTAAAAATGTGTAGATCTCTTTTTAAAAACATTATTCTAATATTTGCATAATCAAACCTTCAATTACAAAAAGCAGATATGTAACTCTAGAAGCTACAAACCCATGAAACAAGGGTCTCGATGTCTAGAGCTGAGGATCCCTGACAAAAATCTATAAAACATGAGCCTTGTCCTATTTAGCAAACTATTTCCATTTTCTGGATGCAAACATCAGGAGTAAATCATAAAAGTGAAAAAGATCTGGGAGACAGCAAAAAGGTGATCATTAGCTTACCCAGTACAAAAGACATGGGGATGAGACTGGCATAGTGATTGCAGTAAATTGCCAGCTTTTCGAAATACCTTTTCTGGTCATCATACAGGAAAAATCTAAAAACAACAGAGGAAAAGTTTTCCAAAGTTTAGTATGATGAATGGATCAAAGCACTGATAAAGCAATCCTCCTTTCTCACCTGTAAGTAATACTGATGGCGGTATACATGGCAAAGAAAGCCAGGAATTCTTTATATAACACCTTGTAGATGCTCCCTTTCCAAGCCCAGAGCAGCTTGGAGAAGCCACAGAATCGGGCGTTTGCAACTCTAGCCGTGTATGTGACCGTCATCAGTGACAGAAGATCTACAAGTCTCCAGAATAAAAAAACAAAACAGCTGTTTGGAAGAAACAGCTAAACTCAGGTGAGCCAGAGACAATGAGAACATGATCTCACAAAAAAAGTTTTTATTTCTAGTTATTGATTGTAGTTATTAAAAAAACCAAAAACATCTACTTACCTTTTGTTGTGATTTAGCTTGCTGAAATGTTCAGCGCATCCCCTGTGCGTAATTGGCACCTCTGGATAAGTGAATTCATATTTTCATTTAGTAGTACCGTCTTCCATTTGCCTTGTTCCGTGCTGTTTTTTCAATGAGCTCGGAATCCTGTGATCAAGTGGCTCCGTTAAGTTGAAGCTCATTCGGCTGCGTGGCAGTAATCCTACGTGCCTCCTCAGTGCGTCCAGTGGTCAGTGCGCCCCGGGGTAAATCCCCGAAACGAGAAGGAGGAGCTCGTTAACGCGACCCCCGACCGGGAGAGCGGGGCTAGGTGATGGAACACAAGCGACAGGCCGCAGCGCCGGGGCACCAGGAGCGCACAGGACCGTGCAGTACAGTAGAAAATTATGCAACAATAGCAAGTGAACCATGGCAAAGTTTCGTGTTAAGTGATACGAAAGAAAATCACCCAATTTTCCAGTTACAGATCAGTAATTACTGCGTGCTGCAGCTTAAATAACAAACATCTTAAGATACTCATACCATCTTAAAGGAGCATTTTATGTCAAAGCTTCCTCCACTTTTCTTAAACTTAGTTGTACTGTAATAAGGAGATATCAGTGGAGTGGAGCTCCGCACCTGGATATAGTTTCTGAGACTTTTTTTTAAATCATGTCTCCAAAGTACCCAACACGACTTATCGACCACACTTTAAACTGAGACACTTCTTGGCGTTCATTGATACAATAGTCATTTTGTGTCATTTTTCCTCCCACTTTTGTGTTCTTTTCAGTGGGAGGCTTTTATGTTGCTCCTGAACTGCTTTGTTGGAAGGTTAAATGGGGCTTCATGCTCTGTCGGAGCCGATCTGTACACTGCTCAGTTTGGTGGTCTGTGCGCACGCAAGAATTTGCTTCAGTCCCCTCCAATTAAACGATTAATTCAACTGGCACGCAGATGAAAAAGAAATGACCATGAAAGACTTTCAGCTGAGGCAAGTTTGTTTTAATCAACACTGACATTATAATTTAAGGAAAATCTATAGAAAACAGATTCTTACCAACTCAAAAACTGTCCGTGACAGAGAGGGGAAATGGAGCTTTTAACTGAGAGTGCACTATCCTGTCATTTATTTATGTTTCACTTGGGAAGCACCAATCAAGGCAGCCAGGAAGCTGATATTCAATCAAAAGGGAAAGGATGCTTTAAATTTCCTTCACCTTACCATTCATTTAACATTTGATCAAGTGACATTCAATATGTATTTTAATTAACAAAGCGCTGAATAAGGCTACTAATATCTTTCAATGGTGTTCCCATATAGTTCTCAGTCAACAGGATGGACACAGGTTTGACAGAAACACACTGGATGAGTTTATGAGCGCTGTATAGGAACATGAACAGGGAGATCAGCAGTGCCCAACAGCTTTAGCTTCCAGCTCAAACATCACCAGTCACATCAAATAAAACTGCAACTTTCCTCCACATACCAACCAAAGCAACTAGTGTCCTTTATGGATAGAAAACAATAAATCTGACTGATGTTCTCATTATTGTCATCTAATGATCTGATAAATGGTAAAAGACACTCAAGTTTGTTTTGTTTCAGTTTGTTTTGGTTGCAATAACAAGGCTCTAACTAAAGACCACACAGGCTGTCTTCCTGGTTTTTTTTTTAGTGTTTTCTTTTTTATTTCCCTGCCACCACCACAACCTGAATATAGAAATCTGGATGGAAAAAGTGTGATACACGAGTTTGTTTGAATTTTTAGTTGCAAATCAAATGGAAGAAGACACACAGTCACCATGAATCACACAGAATAAACAAGTCATAAACATCAACCATCTGAAAGCTGTTTTCTCCTCAAACACACAGCACTGTCACTGGAAACACTTTGTTTTCACAACTGAGGCCGGACACTGCACAGGGTGTGGGGGAGGAGGGGACGATTTTTCAATTCTTCTGTCAAGAAAAAGTTAAATGCTTAAAGTAGGAACTGCCACAGTGAATATGAAGACAAGAGAAGGTGAAGTGAGAGTAAGGCGGCACGCATATGTACCATCTTATCTCCAAAAATAATGCAGCTTCTCTATGGGTTTACTTGTGATGTCGTGGGGGGTGGGGCACCCTTCAATGCGGGCGGGTGTCTCGCTGTAACCGTGCTGTGAAGATACCGTGTTGAGGACTGAATGGATCGTCTTGAGGCTGTTGCTGCAGGATTTGAGGCTTGCTGGGGATGGAGCTCAGAGGAGGATAACTCAGACTGCAGAGCTGTGTCTGTAGAATGGGGGGAGAGGAGGCGGCCCTGCGAGGGGGCAGGACATCACTTGTTTGGGGGTTTGTAGGGTTCCAGAAGTTGCTTAGAGAACGTGTTGACTTTGTCGGCACCTCGAACTTCATGGGGCAGTAGAGGTAACTTGACTATGTGGAAATCCTCGTAAAGATCTTCCATCTGTGGGCAGAAGACAAACCACCAATAAAGTTGTGTGACTTTGAACTGTAAATATTGTAAATAAACTTTCTCCTGATTCATACCTGGTCTAAATATTTCGACTGAATTTTATGGCGGGCTTCACACATTTTACACGGCCTGTCTGCATCAGGGAAAACGAGCTGGTTGACAATGATGTTGTGCGTGTCGATGCGGCACTTGGCCAGTTCCTGAATCAGCCGCTCTGTCTCATAAAGTGACAGAAATTCAGCAATACACACACAGATGAAGGTGGTCTGCTCCTGAAGGGTGAGAGGAAGGTGCGTCACAACACACATAGATAAAAACTATTAATATGACTTCATGAAGCTCAAATTTGCTCCAAATACTGAATTCGTTATTTACATTAAATATTTTGTCTGAACAGGTAGATGAGTTCGCATCAAAGAACAAAATCAAAAGGAATAACAAAACCTAAAGCAGTCAAGTAAAACAGACTAGCTACTAGGGCTCAACAGGGGTGGAGTTAGAACTTTAAAAGAAAATAATAAAAAGGTGAAACTGTTGTCGAAACTTCTTTTGTCCTAATGACAAAATAGTATAAAGAGGGCTTGACAAGAGGGATACATGCATGTGCAACAGGCCGCTGTGCAGAGTGAGTCACTCCAAAAAAACTCTTGTATCCACACACACTATTGACACTCGAACCAGCTAAAGTTTCTTCTGTCATCAGATAAGACTTGTTACAGAGGGTGTGCATGTAGCTACCACAGCACCTCATTAGAACAGTATATGACTGAAGTGTAGTGTGAAAAGGCTTATTCATCGTGGGTGGGTGGAGACTACAACCATTAAAGCAATTACATCTTTAACTGACAATGATGTTGCATCTGGTTCATCTGTACAATAATGCCAAAATTAGAAAGTGGTTGAAGGAAAAAAAAAATGTCCAGGGATCATTATTATTTTTAGGCTAGACGACTGTAATTTTCTTTTATCGAGTTGTTCTAAAGGCTCTCTGAAAAGCTTTCAGTTGATCCCAAATTTAAGAGAACTAGAAAACACATTTTTATATACATAATAAAATCAGAGAGGAGCACCCTCCCTTAACCTGATTTCCACCAGACAGGGCTCTTCCCGTTAAAAGGCAGTTAATTCTACCCTCAATCATCAAATCAATAGTAAGCTATTACTATATAAATCCCAAAGTTGTATAAGAATATATAAATGTGACTTACAGGGTCTTTGAACTGCTCACTAACTGAGCGAATGACTGGCAGGGTTTCTTCAAGCTTTGAGGCCAGCTGGTCTGCGTTCATGTCACCCAGACCAAGCATATTACACATCTAGAAACAGCAAAAGAGATGGACAGTATGAGTGAAAACAAGAGAAGAGAGAAAGAGAAAACACTGGAGAAAGAAAAAGGCCAACAAAGTGCATATATTTAATCAGAAATCATGTTTTATGTGCAGAATAATGAAAATGGTTTGAACCGATCTGCTCGTCTCAGCACCCACCTGAGAGATGAAAGGGCTAATCTGGTTCTTGATCTGCATGAGGCGGCCTAGACCTCGCTCCACAATGGTGGGAAAGTTAAGCAGTCGCAGTGTGTGACCAGTAGGGGCAGTGTCAAAGACCACCACTGAGAAGTTCATTCCCTTCACTAATCTGAGATACAGGCAAACAACAGTGTTAAGTATAACACTCACTAACTGTCCTTAAAACTTCAGACATGCTGCGAGAAAACTCAAATACAAAACTACCTCATGACCTCTGCATAGCTCATAGCCTCATCGATGCCGGGGAAGGCGCTCATTGCTTCCTGCATCATCTTCTTGCCCATGCTGAGCATATTGTCCTCCTCGAAGAACTCATCAGGCAGCTCTGCCACACCCAAGCTCGGGTCAATCTCCTGTATACACATGCCCAAATCCTAAGATCAGAACACTTCAAATAGATTGCAAATGTTTTTATGCCCTCCAGTGATTGAGTTTGTTACACAGTGGTGCTTGTGAGACTCACATGTGGAACTGGCTAGCCTCATGACTCTGAAAAGATGGTGATCTCATGCACTAACTTGTTTTTTCCAAAAACAGAATGAACAAACCCTCTGTGCTTTTTAAACTCTGTCTAAACGTTAGTCTTTAATATGATGCAAAGATGAAAATGTGGATAAGAAAATCCTTGTACTGTGGATGCTTGCTCATTGTTGTTTCATAGACTTCATCAATGTTATTAATATTATTAATAACATGCTTCTCAGAAAACAATATATTTGCAAATATTTGAGTTCAATTTTTAATCTCATCAAGCAGCACCACACACTTGTAACATTTAATAGCTGTTAGGTGTACACATATACTCACCATTGCAAAGAGGTTGTCATAGCCCTTAACCTTAGTGGGTACCTTTGAGAACTTCTGGTCAAAAGCATCAGAGATGTTATGGGCAGGATCTGTGGAAATGATGAGCACACTCTCCCGAACAGCAGCCAGCTGGACAGCCAAACTACAGCTGTCAGAAGGACATGGAAAGGGGACAGGTTTGTGTTTAAAGAGCCTGTTAAGAGTATTTTGTGCCCAATGTAAGCATGTAAGAAATGCTGTGCAACTGACCAACAATGAGATCCGCAATGTTTTGAATTCTTAATCCTTCATGTGCATGCATGCCGTGTAAAGCACAAAGTCAAATTCTAATCCATTTCCACTTTGTGAACATTACCTTCCCCCAGTTACTTTGATGAACGCAACTTTCGCATGCAATTATATTCCAACTGAAACACAGTAGATAACTTAAGGGATAGCATATGCGACAGTGGTTGATCTATGCGCAATGTTATCGTGGCTGCTCTGGTGTGATGTACATATTTGTTTGACACATTAGATTTTTGTTAGTTATCTTGTTTGAAATAAGTCCGCTACAGACTAGATCCACGTTCATTTGGAATCGCATTTATTCATATTTTTTTTCTTCTTGTTATGAATAAAGATATGATAATACGGGCTTGACAGCCTAACTCTGGAGTCTCCTTTAATTCTGGGTGAAGTAAAAGAACAGGTAACATTAGCAGCAGGTTATTGATGATGGCTTATACGGTGATTACTGAAGGTGTTGAGAAAGTCGTGAATCCATGTGTCAGCTGCTAACGTTAGCTGCTGACTGCGCTTCACAGCTACCAAACTGCCCGGCGAAAGGACTCCTTACTCAAATTTAAACATAACAGTCACTTTTCTTTGATGCTAGCGCGTCTTTAGGTAGAAATTTAACACCAGTCTAATCTCGTCGTGGGAAAATTACCCACGCAATTCATTTTCGGACAATGATCAACGTCAACTTATGGTAACGGCTAATGCTAGCCAGCCGCTCAAGCCGAGTCAGTATCCGGAGGCAATTTAGCATTTTAATCAACTTACCTACATGTCGTTTTACCAACGCCACCCTTCCCACCCACAAATATCCATTTCAAAGATTTCTGCTCGATGATATTCTTCAGAGTTGGTTCTAACGGCTCCACATCGGGCGCATCTTCAAATTCGTCTTCCACCAAAGCTGCCATCTTGTATGTGTACAGTCAGCGACGTACAGCTCAGGAGTTACGCAAAGACGTATCCACAGTTGATGCATTCACTGCTCCTCGGAGTTTTGATCCACGCAAGGTTTCACACTGCCGCAGGGTTGTAAGACATTTGGTAGTTTTAATATTGAAGACACTATTATTTTTTGACAGAAGAAGACAAGGAATCACATAGGTACTGACTATTATATTTTATTCATATTATATTCATGCGTATGTGTACGTTAGAATAGTTTGCAAGGAAGTCATCTAGAAACAGGTTTATGTAGATTTTTATTATTTAGAATGATTAGTATATATCTTCAATTAATACTGTCAAGTATGATCAATCAATCAAAAACAACAGTGAGTTACCAAAAACACTTTCATTTTTAATGTTCTCTGTAAACAAAAAATGTTTGATACTGTTTGAATATGAAAGTGCAAAAATAGAGTGAAAAAGAAAAATTGGAAAAAACATGCACAATCCACGAATTTCCCATAAACATGAATGTAGCACGAACTACACTAAACTCAGCGCCTTAGAAATTGCAGTTTACTGACGTAAAACATTTACTTAAATATTTATTAAGCCAGTTTGTACTAAAAATGTTGAAAGTTTAGAGCAGAGAAAATGAAAGCGCAGGTAGCGGCATCGTCTTAGTAATTAAAAGTAGCCATGTTCGATCATTTCAACTATAACACTGAAAATCAACAAAATAATAAAAAACACAGTGTGCACAGAAAAAAGCCGGTCTGCAGTGATAAAAACATTCATTTACATGAACACATGCATGCAGTCACCACAGGATAAGGCACTTGTCTCCATAAACATCTTTTCCTTGCTTCACCTGTCCCCATCTGAGCACTGCCATCAGAGTTTTCACCTCTCAATTTTCTGGAGCGATCATCTCCATCTCTGACTTCAATGCAGTGCCAAGCCAGAATCTTTATGTGTGTTGTTTGAGCTCGCACGCAGTTCATCCCACTGGGAAAGGAGCAACTTTGCCCTCCATCTGGCCCTTCACAGTCAGTCTGCCGTAGCCACCGTGGCCAGAAGGTTGGGCCCAGATCGACCCACTGGTGCTGTAATTTGCATGTTGCTGAGCGCACCAGCCATCCTCTGACTGAATTGGCAGCATCTGATGGCAGAGAACTGAGGTCCAGTTCTGCAGCCTCCTTCTCTAGTTTCTGCTGATATTTTGCTGAAGCCTTTCTCAGTTTTGGAGACACACGCAGGTTAAATTTCTCTTTGAAGGTGGTAAGGGTGGGCTGACTTCCTTTGGGGGACTCAGAAGGGTGATCTACGGACATCCAAAACGGGTCAAACGAGGATCCCAGAAGACGCAGGAGGCGAGAAGGCTGGCGATGTCTGACTTTGGGCATGTAGTGGTAGTCGTCAGCATTTGTGATGAGGGTGTATGGACGGATTGGCTGTGAGAAGGATGGGAGACTGGCTCCCAGCTGAAGAAATGGTGAATCCCAGCCTGTGCCATCCTGGTCTTGAGCAACAGTCACATTTGGATGCTGATTTTGAGTTGAAATGTTGTAAATAAAGGCCAGAGATGCATCCAGGAGAAAAGATAGGAAAATCCAACAGAGACAAATGGCAAACTGCCCACACATGGTCTTCAGATCTGGACTGTAGCTCAAAGAATGAAAAATTGCTCTTTTAGCTTTTCCCTTCAGTCCTTTAGTTATGCTTTCAGTTGGTGCTAGGTGCTTCAGGGACTCTGTGTACCCAACACCAGACATCCTTGGGCTCTTAAACAACAACATACTGAATTCAGTGTCTTATCACACAAGCAGCACTCTATTGAGTATGGCACACTTGAGTTCCCAAGACTCTGATATTTTGGCTAACTTACAATCTGAATATAAGACGACTATGCTGAAATTTGGTTTAATGCAAGGTGTCACGTACCAAAATTTTCACACTTCACACTTTTGCAAAGTGCCAACTTTAAATGGGTTATCAATGAAATATTCATTGGATAAAGTTGGTGTGTAAATCACTGGACTAAGGAGTAAAATATTTTAAAAAGAGACCACATGAAAAATGTTCATGGGGCAAATGCCCCATTTATTTTCATCTACACAAAATCAGCATTATGGATCAAAGGCACATTTGGTGTAATATCAAGTATATTTTCTGCATCATACTAAACATCCAGTTTACTCCCATGTTATAATCTTACATATAAATACAGTCACATAAAATTGTATATACGCACATACAGATAACAAACAGCAGAATTAACAGAGAAATACAGCA